GCATCCAGGAAAAGGACTGCAGAAATTCACACTGGGAGCAGCTAGCTGGTATGCTGTTATTTGAATACAAATAGGAAGACTGGGATAGTACACACAGTAACTTATCTATAGTTAAAACAACTTTTTTCTTCCAGATTTCTTTTTTATTTTATTTATTTATTTTTTTTAGATGGAGTCTCTCAGTCGCTAGGCTGGAGTGTAGTGGCATAATCTCAGCTCACTGCAACCTCTGCCTCCTGGGTTCAAGTGAATTCTCCTGCCTCAGCCTCCCGAGTAGCTGGGGTTACAGGTGCACACCACCACGCCTGGCTAATTTTTGTATTTTTAGTAGAGATGGGGTTTCACCATGTTGGCCAGGCTGGTCTCGATCTCTTGAGCTTGTGATCCGCCCACTTCAGCCTCACCAAGTGCTGAGATTACAGGCTTGAGCCACCGTGTGGGGCCTTCTTCCAGATTTCTAATAGTCTTGCTAAGTCCTTTCTGATTGATGATTTTTTTTAGGTGAAATTCTCTAAATATTTATTTGTGTTCCTAGAAAGTAAAAATGAACATAAACGGCAAAGCAATTGCCTCGCAATGTTTACAAAAAGGAGAAAATAGTCTTTGCCATTATTCTGAAGCTTTGCATAATTAAGATTCTTGAATTGGTTTTAAGGAATTAATAACAAAAAACACAATCATGAACCAGATACTGAAAGTTAATGTCTAACTTAAGTTCAACTTTTAGGAAGTCTGTTTTCCTTTTTTGATCATGCAGTTGAATAGACAGTGGGGAGATGTTACTACAGCTGTATTAACAGGGGAAGTGGCAGGAAGCTACAGCTTCCTTAGAATCAGAAAGAAAGTTTATAGAACTCACTGGAAATGAGGGCTATAGATAAAGATTGAAGCCGGAATAACTTGTATTTAGAACTGCTGTTGTATTTTTATAACATAAGAGTGGTTTTCTTTAAAGTAAGTATTTGGGGCTAAAGAGAATGCAAACACTCCTCTCACAGGGAAGTCAGAAGGCTTAGCAGTATTAACAAACATCTGAAGTCATTTCACAAGGTGGAAATTTACTGTAGAACCAGTGAACATAATCTTCCTCCAGGGTGTTCTGAGTCATGAATGGGGAGCAACTTGCTCCCTTTGTGGATGAGCACTGGGGACAAGCTTCCCTGCATCAGAGCCTGTGAAATATCAGTAACAACAGCTACTGTACTCTGAGTGCTCACTTCCTCTGTGCCAGAAGCTGGCTCTGGGCTTTAATTGAATTCTCTCACTCCAACCTTACAGCAGCCCACTTTAAAGAAGGAACACTAATTCTCAATACCTTAAACAGGCCAAATCATTCCCACAGCATCGGTGGCAGAGAGGGAATTTGAAGCCAGGCAGAATGACTGGAAGTCCCTGGTGATTAGTCATGGTGGAGAATGTCTCCCAGCTCACAAAAATGACTACTCACTGGCACGTAACGCTAAGTTCAGAAAGAACGTCATCAGTTGGTCGGTGTTCTTGCTTTCTCTCAATGAACAATTAAAAGGATGCAGAGGTGAGACAGGGTGGGGTGGGATAAGGGACAGAAAGGCTGCAAGTAACCACCTGGGAGCCCAGTGAGACTCAAAGATTCTAACCTAACATACTTTTCTGCTTTCAGCTATTCCGTAATGAACATCCACAGATGAAAACATAAAGTGTATTAAGAATCCTTTGTGGTTTTTTTTTTTTCAGTTTTGATTGATGGACATAATACAATGTAAACAAAACAAAGCAAAAACCAACAACCAAAAATCCTAAACTAACTGCCTTTCATCATTCCGCTCCCTGATTAGACATGGCACTGGGCTCTTTGCTAGGGGTAGAATACTGGCCTGTCCTGGGCAGGACAAGGGCATGGAGCTCTCCAGCAAGCACCACAGCAGGACAGCACAGGCTTCTAGCAGACATGGTTTCCGTCTCAATTGTTTACAAGCCTTGGGATCTGGAACAATTGATTTGAGCCCTGCAACATTAGAATGGTTCCTTTTCTCAGGGCCTAACATGGGGCAGAGAAGGCACTCGGCAAGGAGGGTTACTATTCTCACATCCTCAGAGGCCCAGACAGAACTAGTTCAGAGGCTGAACTTCCTGGGAGACCATGTAGAGGAGTGGAGTCAGGGGCCTGTGTCTGAGATCTAGCTCAGGTCAGGGCAGTTTCATTGAGAAGATGAGATCTGAGCAAAGATTTGAAGTTGCTGAGTGAGTTAACCATGTGGGAATCTCAACGGAAGAGATTTCCAAGCAGAGGAAATGGCTAAGGAGAAACAGGAAATTGCCTTCTGGCAAGATCTAGGAACAGCAAGAAAGTCAGTGTGGTTCGGAACAGAGTGAGGGTAAAGTTGTTTTATTTTTATTTATTTATTTATTTTTATTTTTTTGAGACGGAGTTTCACTCATGTTACCCAGGCTGGAGTGCAATGGCGCGTTCTCGGCTCACCGCAACCTCCGCCTCCTGGGTTCAGGCAATTCTCCTGCCTCAGCCTCCTGAGTAGCTGGGATTACAGGCACGCGCCACCATGCCCAGCTGATTTTTTGTATTTTTAGTAGAGACGGGGTTTCACCATGTTGACCAGGATGGTCTCGATCTCTTGACCTCGTGATCCACCCGCCTTGGCCTCCCAAAGTGCTGGGATTACAGGCTTGAGCCACCGCGCCCGGCCTGAGGGTAAAGTTGTTGAAAGTGAGGTCGGGGAGTAAGGGAGTCGGCATCATTTTAAGGACTCTGAGTTTTAACTATGAGAGCGACATGGAGCCATTGCAAGGTTCTGAGCAGAGGAGGACATGTGACTGAGAGTTTAAAAAGCTTGCTCTAAACCAGCTGCAATGGTTCATGCCTATAATCCCAGCACTCTGGGAGGCCAAGGCAGGAGGATCACTTGAGTCTAGGAATTTTTTGAGACCAGCCTGGACAACAGAGCCTGACCTCAACTCTACTAAAAAGGAAATAAAGCTGGATGTGGTAGTGCATACCTGTAGTCCCAGCTACTCGAGAGGTTGAGGCAGGAAGATCACTTGAGCCTGGGAAGTTGAGGCTGAAGTTGATCATTCCACTGCACTCCAGCCTGGGCAACAGAGCAAGACCCTGTCTCGAAAACAAAACAACAGCAACCACAAAAATCTAAAAATATCGCTCTGATTGCTGTATTCAGAATAGACTGGGTTTGAAGCAGAAAGACCAGTTAGGAGAGTAATCCAGACAAGAGATCATGATGGGTCTGACCAGGGTTCATAACAGTATGGGGGTGAGAAGTGGGCAGATTGTGGGCATATGTTGAAGGTAAAACCAACAGGATTTATCCCTGGGTTGGACATGGAAAAGAGTGGAAAAGAGAAGGTAAGGATTTACTCCAGGGCTTTTGGCATGAGCAACTGAAAGGACAGAGTTGCCAATACCTGGGGTGGGAAGGATATGCAGAGGAAACAGATTTGGGGGGAACACCAAGGCTTCATTTTTGCCCATGTTGAGTGTGAGATGTCCACTTGATATCCAAGTGGAGAGCAAATGGAGGAGAGAAAGGGGTCCAGTCTGGTGATGCACTCTTGGAAATTACCAGCATGTAAATATTTAAAGCCCAGAGACAAATAGATCATAAAAGGAGTATTGACAGAGAAGAGGGGTCAACAGACTGAGCTTTGAGGTGCTGCAATACTGAGAGTGCTAGAAAAAGAGGAGGCAGCCTCCCAGGGGACTTGAGATGGAGCAACAACTGAGGCTGTCTTATAGGTGGCGTTCACCAGGCAGAGAGTAGGGAAAGAATTCTAGGTGAGGGGAAGGGTGGGTACCTGGACCCCGAGGTGTGAAAGCCTGATGTGGGAGAGGGAGGGGGAGGATAGTAAGTGGCGTGGTGTGGGGAAGAATAGAGGAGAGGCTACAAGATGGGCTTCTCTGACATGTAAGGGACTTGGACCCTTAATGGAAGACTTTGGGAGCTAATTTCATGATAATTATGAGGAAGACGATGACAGCTGAGACTCATTGTGGTATTATTCTAACTTACCATGTGTCAAGCACTGTGCTGAGCAAATTACATACATTATCTTCACTTAATCTTTACACCTACCTGTTAAGAAAGATAGTAGAATTATCCTCTGCAGATGAAGAGATGGGCTCGGGGAGGTCAAAGTTGTCAGTGAGTAACTGCCTTTAGCCCAGGTAGTTCCATTCCAGAGTCCATCCTTTTAACCACTAACCTGTCTTGGCTCCTTGAGGTCTGGGACTTCTTAACCAGGCCTCAGAGGGTCAGCCTGAGAGCATGTGTCATTTCCCTGTAGAGGATCTGACTTCACTGTTTCTCAGATGAGGCGCTTTAAATGCAAAGGGTTAAGGTAGAGTCTGGGCACCAGTGAAGGAGTTCAAGTGGAGCAGCAACTTGACAAGATTTGCTTATGTAGGATGTTGATCATCCTACATAAGCAAATGTAGTGTGGTGAACAGAGTGCATGAGGGTGCCTGGTAGTACTGGGGGGAGATATATCTGGGGAAGATGAGCTCAGTGTGAGGCCTACTGAGAGGCCTGAGGGTTGATGAAACAGTGTGCTTCAGGCTGTAGGGTCAGGGGCTTAGTAAGAGTTGAGCTAGATTTGAAAGTCATGTGGCTGTAAATAGAATCAGTGGTTCTGAGTGAGGGAAGCAATTTTCGGATCTTCACTGTCCATATAGACACACTTTTCTGAAATGGATCCCTCGGAGAACAGGGAAAATGCACACCTCTTGCACTTCCGTCATCTTTCTATGGTGTGTTTGGGAAGGTAAAAAAATGAAAAACAAAAAACAGCCTCCAGGACTCCAAACATAGGGGGCAATTTCAAATATAATACATGTATGAGAATGTGAATGACTCAGGGTGAGCGGCACTTCCTTTTACAAGTCAGGTGGTTCTGGCTGTTTGCTTTCATCATACTTGAAGTGACACCTAAACACACACACACACACACGCGCGCGCGCGCGCACACACACACACACACACACACACACACACAGATAGGTCTCACTATGTTGCCCAGGCTGGAGTTCAGTGGCTATTCGCAGGTGTGATCATAGCGTACTACAGCCTCGAACTTCAGGTGGTTCTCCCACCTCAGTCTCACAGGGTGGCTGGGGTTACAGTGGCACCCCACTGTGCCTGGCTGAACATAAGGATAGATTACAAAGTGATTTCGGGGCTCTGATTTTCAAGGATTTCAAAGATTTGAGTGACATTGCTGTAGCTAAAAATACTTACATTCTTTTATTTATTTGAAAAGAGTTTCTCAGTTATTGTTTCTATAAAAAGAAAAGTGACGATCACAGTGGCTGACGCCTGTAATCCCAGCACTTTGGGAGGCTGAGGTGGGCGGATCACCAGAGGTCAGGAGTTTGAGGCCAGCCTGGGCAACAAGGTGAAACCCCGCCTCTACTAAAAATACAAAAATTAGCTGGGCATGGTGGCGCGCACCTGTAGTCCCAGCTACTCAGGAGGCTGAGGCAGGAGAATTGCTTGAACCTAGGAGGCGGAGGTTGCGGTGAGCCGAGATCGCGCCATTGCACTCCAGCCTGGGTAACAAGAGCGAAACTCCGTCTCAAAAAAAAAAAAAAAAATGGACTCCGTCTCAAAAAAAAAAAAAAAAAATAACAACAACAACAAAATCCCACAAAACAAAACTACGTACTCCTATGCAATTTTTGATTTGACATCCAAATGTTTTATTTTATTTATTTATTTTGTTATTTATTTACTTGACAGGGGTTCACTCTTCATCCAGGCTGGAGTGCAGTGGGGCAATTATGGCTCACTACAGTCTCAAACTCCTGAGCTCAAGCAATCCTCCCACCTCAGCCTCCCAAGTAGCTACAATCCAAAATTTAAATGGTTGCAAGAATTTATAGTGTTTTACAAATGTGCGAGATCCATCCTAGCCAACATGGTGAAACCTGTCTCTACTAAAAATACAAAATTTAGCTGGGCATGGTGGCATGCGCCTGTAATCCCAGCTACTTGGGGGGCTGCGGCAGGAGAATTGCTTGAAACCGGGAAGCAGATGTGACAGTGAGCCCAGATCGCACCACTGCACTCTAGCCTGGCACCTGGCGACAGAGCGAGATCCTGTCTCAAAACAAAAACAAAATAAAGACAATTAGGAATATTAGCATCTAAAGAAAATGCAGGAAAAGTGGTTAGGTAGGACTAGGACAGCAGAAGCACTGTTTCCAGCTGGAGCGTGCTGTCAGGCATCCCTCGGGATTATGGACGCTCAGGACTCAAAATCATCTGTGGTTGGCCATTATGAGGTCTTTGAGTTTGGCACCACCCATTTCAGTGAATTAACTGCAGTCCAGTGCAGAGACTGATGTCTGGGAACAGGAGTTGAGAGAGGTCAGAGGAGAGAATCAGAGGGAAGTGAAGACATCAACTGTGAACTACTCTCTTGAGAAATTAGAACACGGAGATAATATGGCAGTAGCTTGGTCACTTTTGGGAGAAGTGGTGTAAAGGCAGTTGTTACTACTTTGAAAATGGGATTGATTTGAACATAAACCAAAGGTAAAAAGCGGGTGAGTGAGGGTGAAGAGAGGAGGGACGCTCATTTCTGTTGTATGCAAAATGTTCTGCAAATCAGCTGGCCTTGGCTGATCCCCCAGGAAGCCAGAGGGGATGCCAGCCCCCTTACTTCAGAATTGTGGCCTTTCTCTTCTGGTGAGCTAGAAATTTTACTCAGTAGTTCTCAGGAATTTTACAAATTCTTATCTAGGCAGTGAGCCACTATCTTGATACTCAGTGTCTAAAACTGCTTGTTTCTACAGAGCTCATTTTTAATGTCAATGTTTACTGCTATAACGGGGATGGGGGTGTGCATAGACCAACAGGCTTGCTCCACATTTTTTGAATTTGCCTGACTGATTTAGGGTAAGAGTGGCTCCCAAATTTCTTGGTAGGAGTAAAAAAGAGATTTTAACGTATTTTTCTTTTTTCTTAAACTCACCTTAGCTCTTTAGAATTATGCTGTAAGAAACCAGTTCACCTCGAATACCAAGGAAATGGGTATGATGTAGGAGGCAGAGGAGTAGCCTCTTCCATGCTGCCTGCAGAATGGAGATAGACCTGGGCTCGCACACGGCACCCAGACCCAGGAGTGGATGGTTCAATGTGCAGCGTTTAAGACTAAAGCAGGCTGGCCAGGCGTGGTGGCTCATGCATGGAATTGCAACACTTTGGGAGGCCAAGGCAGGTGGATCACTTGAGCCCAGGAGTTTGAGACCAGCCTGGTCAGCATGGTGAAACTCCATCTCTACAAAAAACACAGAAAAGGTGGATGTGTTGGCACGTGCCTGTAGTCCCAGCTGCACTCCAGTCTGGGTGGCAGAGGACCTGTCTCAATTAAATAAAAGACCTGAAGGTCATGTGAGAGCTCACAGTGAACAGGAGTTTTTTCCTCTGTAGGTACTTCATTGTTACTTCAGTTTACTTAAACTTGTTTCATTGTTTTCACACTCTTATGAAATGCTCTCAACAATAGCTGCAACAACAGAGAAGCAAGGAAGTATTTAGTAATAGCAAGAGAGGGCCGTGGTTAGCATGAAACATCTTGCGTTATTCACCACTGCAATGAGAAGAAAAAGACTGAGCAAAGGGAATTTCTTCCATTTCTCAAGGATTTAGAGAGCTACATGCTCCATTGGAAGGTCACATTGTATGTGGCAAGGTCACATTAAGGGAATTGACTTCCTCCTCTAAGTCCCCCTGACCTTTGTGTATTTCTTTCCGTGGTTTTATGCTAATACTTTGAAGAATCGAAGAATGTTATGAGGTGGCCAGGGAATGCTATGGTTCCAGGTAAATGTATTTTCAAGGTCTTTGGCAGTCAGTAAACCATTTTCCAGGACATACTTCGCTGGAAGCATGCTAGCAGTAATGAGTATTAACAGGAGAAACTATCTTAATATTGCCATTGTTATTATTACATTGTTTTGTAGCTGAGATATTAGGTTCCCTGCTGTGTGCTGAGAACATCGAGAACCCAAAGATAAAGAGGACACAGCCCCTCTAAACAGCTGTTCTATCTAGGGGCCTGTGGCTCCTTGTTCTTGGGTGGAATTCAGGAACTTCTATAGGAAAAGATTACAGTTTTACCAACCTCTAACCACAATACAGTATTTCCTTCAGTTATCAATGGCAATGACAAGCCACAGGAGTGGTGGCTATTCCTGTTTATACATATTACTACTTTGAAATAATGGTAACCATCTGACCTACCACTACATCAATGCGAGGCACATACGGCGTGACAGCCAATATATGTTTGAATAGTTTGATAACTGTATTTCATAATGAGTTTTCTGCATATGCCTAGGTAGTTTACCTTATTTTGAGAAGGATTTAGGAGGCACAAAAAAGGGTTAAGAATTCCTTTCTGTTTACTGTCTCATGAGGAAGACTAGAAGCTTCAACAGATAAAATCAATACAGAGTGGTGAGTGGCAGCTGGAGTTATGCTCAGGAGCCGTGGAGCACAGGTGTGAGCGCAGATTCAGGGAAGGCTGCTGGAGAAGATTCCTGAACTGCATCTGGAATGAAGAAGAAACGGAAGCAGGAGGCCGTTTCCAGGGAGAGAACAGAACAGCTCTTAGGGCAGGAAATGACCAAGTGTGTGTGGAAGGCAGGTACTGAGAGTCAGGGCTTGCTTACCGTGCCAGGTCCGGGGATCTCAAGAAGGAATGAGGGTCAGGCTAGGTGGTCAGTGTGCTCACGATTCAGAGCAATGTTTATGGGGACAGGGTAGAGAGGGGTAGAGTTTAAAAAAGGAAATTCTTTGTTTTTTGGGGGGGACACAGTGTCTGGCTCTGTCGCCCAAGCTGGAGTGCAATGGTGCAATCTCAGCTCACCACAATGTCTGCCTCCTAGGTTCAAATGATTCTCCTGCCTCAGCCTCCCACGTAGATGGGATTACAGGCATCTGCCACCAAGCCCAGCTAATTTTTGTATTTTTAGTAGAGATGGGGTTTCACTGTATTGGTCAGGCTGGTCTCGAACTCCTGACCTTAGGTGATCTGTCCACCTCGGCCTCCCAAAGTGCTGGGATTACAGGCATGAGCCACCACACCTGGCTGCCTTTCTAGAATTTTATATGAATGGAATCATACACCATGTGCTCTTTTTGGTCTGGCTTCTTTCACATGGCATAATGCATTTAAGATTTGTGCATGCTGTTGTAAATCAATGGTTCATTCCCATTTTTTTTTTTTTTGGCCAAGCAGTATTTATTATAGAATTATATACTTTGAAAAGGGGGGAAAAATCAACCTTTGTTTTCATAAAACACAATTTTAAAAAGGAGTGAGATTTTTAATGCTTATCAAATGGGAGTCTAAGTTAAAAATTGTTGAGAAATGCTGCTCCAGAGTGTGGTCAGAACGGTTTCCAGCCCAAGATTTTCTTACCGTCAATGCCAAATTTGAGCACATTTGGAAATATTTTAGACCTGAAAGAAGGCAGGACATCAAAACAACCACTAGAACTGAGTGGGCCTTTGTAACCACAGACTCTGTGACGAAAAGATTTGTAAGGACTCTGCCTAATGAAGAGTTCAGAAAGCATTTTGTGTGTCATCTGTTTTCCTTACAATCTCCTCACTTAGTAGATAAGGGGCAAGAATTATTTTCCATGTTGCGAAAATAGGAAATGAGGTATAGCGAGTTTGAGATACTTATTACCCAAGATCCCAGTGAGTCAGGGGCAGATGGAGGACTGCAGAAGATCCCCCCTGGTCCCTAATCCTAGCCTTGCCAGTAGGCTGGGCTGAAAGTGTTAGAGAAAATACAGTAATTTCACTTTCACTTTGGTTCTTGTTTGGGTTGCGACAGAATCTTTAACTTGAAGGAATGAAGGGTTTTCTTTTCCTTCTTTGTTTTTAAGGCTTTCCCCTCTCTTCTTGGTAAATGCCAACATGTGTGTTGACTACCCAGTTGAACTCCACAATTGAATGCCTGGTGTGTGCCAGGCTCTTTTCCAGGCACTCAGGAGGCACACTGAGCTGGATAAACCCTGAAGGTCGCTTTGAAGCAGACAGTACAAAGTGACCAACTGAGAAGTAAATTACTTTTTTGGACTCACGGAAGATTTGAAAATCTGGGGAAACATATGTGTCCTCTTTCCCCCACAAAATGCACAGTGTAGACACACACACACACACACACACACACACACACACACACACACGATTTTGCAATGATTTTAGGGTGTTTAGAGACCCCCCCAGAGCTTGTGTGCAGGATTGGCCTTTGGATGAGTATTTTTGGCATAGGATGAAAGTGTAATGCTTTGAAGGCAGTACAAAGCCATGGTCACTGAATGGATAGAAACCTTAAGATTAGACCTAAGTGGTTCAGAGGATCCTGTGAGATGGGTGGCGCTGTTAGTGTTTTTATAGACAGGGGTACTAAATTGGGTGGGTACTAATTTCCAGAAGGCAATATTCCAGGCAGAGGGCAAGTCTGAGAAAGGTAGGAGGGGAGGGAAGTGGAAAAATGCAAAGCAAGCTGAGAACTCCAGTTTGGCTGGACGATAGCTTATATGAAGAGGAATCTTCAGAAACAGCCATAGAAGGTGGGCAGGGGTCACATCGTGAATGATGCTGTAAGCAAGGTGAGTAGTCTTCTTTTAATTCTCTCCAGTAAGATATTCTGCAGTTCCTTTTATTTTTAATTAGATGGCAAAACCCCATCTCTATCAAAAAACACAAAAATTAGCTGGGCTTGGTGGTGCATGTCTATAGTCCCAGGCTATTCGGGAGGCTGAGGCAAGAGGATCACTTGGGGGTGAGCTGTGATCATGCCACTGCATTCCAGCATGGCTGACACAGTGAAACCCTGTCTCAAAGCTATATATATATATATTTGTTGTTGTTTGTTTTTGAGACAGAGTTTTGCTCTTGTTGCCCAGGCTGGAGTGTAGTTGGAGCGACCTCAGGCTCACTGCAACCTCTGCCTCCTGGGTTTAAGCCATTCTTCTGCCTCAGCCTCACAAGCAGCTGGGACTACAGGTGTGCACCACCCACCTGGCTAATTTTTGTATTTTTAGTAGAGATGGGGTTTCACCATGTTAGTCAGGCTGGTCTCGAACTCCTGATTTTAGGTGATCCACCCACCTCAGCTTCCCAAAGTACTAGGATTACAGGTGTGAACCACTGCACCTGGCCTTTATTTTGTACTTTTATTTTTGAGATGGAGTTTTGCTCTTGTCACTCAGGCTGGAGTGCAATGGAATGATTTTGGCTCACTACAACCTCTGCCTCCCAGGTTCAAGTGATTCTCCTGCCTTAGCCTCCCGAGTAGCTGGGATTATAGGCGCCCACCACCACGCCCAGCTAACTTTTGTATTTTTAGTAGAGGTGGGCTTTCACCAAGTGGCCAGGCTGTCCTTGAACTCCTGACCTCAAGTGATCTGCCCACCTCATCCTCCCAAAGTGCTGGGATTACAGGCATGAGCCACCACGCCTGGCCTTGTATATACTTTTGAGTGACCACACAATGTCATTCAAAATGATACATAATGATTAATGTGTCACATATCATTGATATCACATAATAGTTAATATCTTCATTTGACAGATGTGAAAACGCAGAAAGGAATGCTAGTTTCCCAAGGGAATGGCCACAAAGGCTTTGGGAAATGTCTGTGTGTTTATCATACCAAATCTGTATCTTTTTCCATCTCTCTACTGAGCTTCAGAGCAGCACATCCCATTACCCAGTGTACATTTCCATTTGAGGTTTCCGTGGACACCCCAAACCCAAATTAAACTCAGTTATCAACTGTTACCCGCAAACCTGCTCCTCCAATACCCTAGTAAGTCCGTAAGTCACGCCTGATAATCAGTTTTTCTTTCTTTCTTTCTTTCTTTCTTTCTTTCTTTCTTTCTTTCTTTCTTTCTTTCTTTCTTTCTTTCTTTCTTTCTTTCTTTCCTTC